GTTAGATATTTCAGCATTAACAGATTATAACATAAATAAGCATTGTTATTTAATCATTTAAACTTTATATGATAATAACACCTATTGAATTATGACAAATCATTTTGATTTAAAATTGATATGGCAAAATCATTACTATTATCAGTAATTATCGATTTATGGTAAAATCTGGCAAATACGTTAGATGAATCAGACCAACCAGCGGTTCTTCTTATGACATCGATACTAACGCCGCAATTGTGAGCGGTGGATGTTGACGCATGTCTGGTTGAGTGGGCAGTAAAAATATTTGTGTCGATGCCACTTTTTTGTAAAACTTCCTTAATCCAACGACTGATTGATTGTGAACATACAGCGTTATATGGACTTTTGAAGCTGATAAATAACTGATCATTGTTTCTAAGGCAATGAGTTCTGTTTTTATAATCGAGTAATGTAGTTGCAGGGCAAATTTTTTGATTTTCCTGAAAAAAGGGTAATACTAAAAGTGGTTGAGTAGTACGAGGTCGTGAAGTTTTTATCAAATCTGTTATTTTTATAATTATTTTTTCATCTGGAATGACCTCAATGTTTTGAACTTTTATTTTACTTAAAGTTTGTACACGATGTGCAGTAACAAGTGCTAGTAAGGTTACAACTTTTTTAGTTAATAATTCTATGCTAATTTCATCATGTGGGTACCAATTTTCAAGAAAATTCAAAACAGTCGTTGGATTCCAGGTTATATCATATTTGGGCATTGGTGGACGTAAACGATAAAAACCCTTAAACAATCGAGTTATTCGGTCATCAGTTCCTATTTTTGTGCTAATAATTAAAGATAATGCAGATCTATAGCTGTTTAGCGAACCGTATTGAACACCTGTATTAAACATTTCTGTCAAAAAAAATATAACTTGTGGCACTGATGCTGCGAATGTATCAATATTATGTAATTTACAAAAATTAAACCATTTTTTGAAAGCAACGCCATATTGTTTTGTTGTGCTCTCTGACAATGAAGCACACATTATGTCTAGGGCACTTGCTGGAATGCTTCTTCTTGAAAGTGCCGAGCGGATAATTTCCCGGCTATTAAGGTGACTTTGTGGTGCAGTTGTCTGTTAGGAACAGATAACAAAACGTTAGAATTAATTCCGAGAGTAAGCGTGTCACTACATAAGCTTTTAAATATAGGGAACCACGGTTGAGTGGGCCAAAGGGGAACAACAACTATGCCTTCTGCATTATCTGTGATAATTTTTCGTATCGTTTTTAAGATTACTGATATTGGTGGAAAAGCATAAAAATTTAATTGACTCCAATTTATAGTAAAAGCGTTAATTGCTAGCGCCCCAGGGTCTCTGTGCCAAGAGACATACTGTTTACATTTAGTGTTTAATCTCGTTGCAAATAAATCGATATCTGGTTTTCCGAAGTGTTTCTCAATTTTGCAGAAGGCATCGTTGTTTAGCTCCCACTCGGTATCAGGATGTGATCGCCGTGACTCCACATCAGCAACTTCGTTGTCTTGTGAACTAATATAAGATGCATAAACATAGATATTCCTTTCTTCGCACCATTTCCAAAGTTTCCTTGTAACGCTTGTAAGATGTGGAAAACGTATACCGCCCATTTTGTTAATATATGAAATGGCGGTAGTATTGTCGATGCGAAGAAGTACTTGACAATCTTTAAGATTTTTTGCAAAAACTAATAAACCAAAATATGCAGCCAAAATTTCTAAAAAGTTTATGTGCATATTTCTTTCGTCCTTGTTCCATTGACCATTAGCTGTTTCCTTGCCACATGCTGCCCCCCACCCTGTTTTGCTGGCATCAGTAAAAATTTCCAAGGTATAATAATCGTCCCTTATTGGATTAACAGAACTTACGATATTCGTTTGCCACCATTTAAGATCATCAAATAAATATTCGGGAATTGTCATAAAGCTATCATAATTTTCAGTTTTTTCTAAGGCTAAATATTTGCAGCGTTCTATATTTTTGGTGTATAACCAGCCATATTGAATTGCGGGGCAAGATGAGGCGAGGAGACCAGCTAATCGAGCGAATTGACGTATAGTACATCTTTTCAGTTTTAAGTAGTTTGATACTTCTTGTTTTATTAAAATCCTTTTTTCCGGTGTGAGAGCAATGTGAAAATTGTGCGTATCGATTATGAACCCCAAGTATTTACACGTATTACTAGGTGTCAATACACTTTTTTCATAGTTTATAATAAAACCCAGTGATTCTAGAATGGATACTGTTTGCCTAACATTTTGCTCACAGTTTTTAAATGAATCAGCTATTAGACATAGATCATCTAAGTATATTGATGAGATATATCCTAGAGATCTTAGTAAATATATCACAGGCTTCATCAATTTGGTAAAAACTAACGGTGCTGTATTTAGCCCGAACGGAAGCACATTGAATTCATACAATTTTTCATTAAATGTAAAACGGAGAAACTTTTTGAAGTCATCATGTATTGGCAACAAAAAGTAGGCATCCTTTAAATCAATTGTACATAGAAATGAATTTTTTGAAATTAATTTTATCGTAGTTCTTAGATCTTCCATTTTAAAGTGATTGGTCGGTATAAATTTGTTTAATGATTTTAGATTTAATATAAAACGTTTTTTCCCATTAGGTTTAGAAATTAAGAAAATACTTGATATATATTGTAATTCACATGATGTACATTCAGATATCGCGCCCGATTCTATAAGTTCATCTATAGCAAATTGAAAATCAATCAGTTCGTCATGGGAATAATTTTTTGGTAATGGAATAAAATCCTGTTTAGGAATCGTAAGAAAAGGTATTTTATACCCTTCTTTGATCCACGATAATATTAAACTATCATTAGTAAGTAAGCGCCATCTTTCGTGAAAATAAGACAATCTGCCGGCGGTATGACGTACCTCGTCTACCGGCGTGTCTGAGTCTGCCCGCGCGAGCGCTGCGGCGGCGCTAGCGGCGTCCGCTGGTGCCCGGAGGCCGCGCTCGGCGGGGGCGCTTGCGTCGGATGAGGAGCTTGGTATCGGCGAGGTTGCTGCGTCGCAGGTGTTGACCTCCTTACTCCCGCCTGCCTCGTAAACGGAAGCGGAGGCTTTGAGTTTAAAAAACGTTGTTGACCGGGTTTATTTTGTGTATAGTTTGCAGGTCTAGGCTGGCTCGGTGCTGAAGTCTTCATTTCAGCTCCAGATTTATTTATTGCTTTTGCAGATCTTAGAGTGTCCGATAGCTTTTCCCCAAATAGAAAACTGTCGATATCCGTGGTATATAAGTGGTCCTTAATATCCTTTTTTATGGTAGAAGTTACGAAACTTCGACGAGCCATAGACTCGACATATTGAGAATCGCATAGGAGCCTAATCCCATCGATCAGTAACTTAATAACCTCAGCATCCTTGGTTTGACTTGCGAATATTTTCGTGCCATGTCTCAAATTTTTCAGTTTCGTGTTGTTCTTTGGTTTTAAATACTATGTCTCTGTTTTTTAAGTCTAGTGGAGTGTAATAGTCGTCAGTTTCTATTGAAGCTAAGTGTAAATTACTGGTGCTCGATTTTTCATAGAAAAATTTCCTAATGTTTTGTATCTGACCCTCCCACAATAATTTGAGATCAATTAGGCCTCTTCCTCCTTTATCCCTTTTGACTGTTGTTCTTTGTATTGCTGATTTTGGATGTAAATAGTTATGTTTAGTGAGTGTAGTTCGAGTTTTTATTTCTAATTTGTTTATGTCTGTTTTTGTCCATTTTATTATTCCAAAAGAGTAAGTTAGAATTGGTACTGCAAATGTATTAATCGCCTTGATTAAGTTTTTGGAGTAGAGTTGCTTTTTACAGATTAAATTTATGCGTCGGAAATATTCTTGTGTAAGATCTTTCTTAATTTTGATATGGTGAATCCCTTTATCTTGCTGAATACCTAGATATTTATAAGTGTCGTTTGAGTCCATTAGCTGAAAACTATGAATTTCATTGGTGTTCAAGGAACATTTAACTTTACCCCTAACAATCCTCAGTGTTCTACATTTATCCAGTCCAAATGTCATATTAATATCTTTACTAAAAGTTTCTGTGATCTCAATAAGTTTTTTCATGGCCTGTTCTGATTTAGAGAAAAGCTTAATGTCGTCCATGTACATTAGGTGGGTTACTGAAGTAGATTCGTTGAGTTTATATCCGTTGCAGGAGTCATTATCGAGAAGGGTGGATAAGGGGTTAAGTGCGAGGCAAAACCATAAAGGGCTCAAGGAGTCACCTTGAAAGATACCATTTCTGATTGGAATTTCCTCTGTTCTAATTTGGTTAAGGATAAGTGATGTTTTCCAGTCAGCCATGGTATTTTCCAAGAAAGTAATTATGGTTGGGTTTACTTTATAAATTTGTAATACGCGTATCAACCAGGAATGTGGAACACTATCGAAAGCTTTTTTGTAATCGATGTAGGTAACGTTAATATTTCTTTTATGTTTATGTGCATGTTTGAGAATAATAGAATCGATAACCAGTTGCTCCTTACACCCAAGATGATTTCGCCTGCACCCTTTTTGTGCTTCAGCCAGAATATTGTTGTTTTCAATATGCGCGTTAAGTTTATTAGTTATACATGAAGTGATTAGCTTGTAAAGTGTAGGTAGGCATGTGATAGGACGGTATTGTGACGGATCTATTGTGTTTTTACTTTTGGGTAACATATAGGTAACACCCTTTGTTAGAAATTGTGGCAAGTTAGCGTTTCCCTGTATAACGTCAGTTATTACTCTTCCTAAAGTGTCGTGCAATATGTAGAATTTTTTCAACCAGAAGCAATGCAAACCATCTACCCCGGCCGCCTTCCAATTTTTCATTTTACTTGTGACATTCTGTATATCGTCTTGATCTATGTTATTGAATTCCATCTCATTAATATTTTGCCATTTAATCTCTTCGTCTTTAATCCATTGCGCTTGATAGTTGTAGTTACTGTGTTTTTCCCATATATTTATTATTATTATTATTATAATGGCAACTGTCCACAGTTACCAGCACGTAGCGGACGCGGGTATCTCAGCGCTGGTGGTGCTGGCATACTCGTTAGCCAGCGCGGGCGCGGCCGTGTACTTGGTGCGCGCGCGCACTCGCCAGGAGAAGCGCCTGCAACTGCTGGCCGGCGTGCCGCCGCTGCGCTACTGGGCCGCCGCGCTGGCTTGGGACATGCTGGTAAGCCACATTTTATTTTTTACCCGACCGCGCCAGAAGGCGGGTTATGTATGTATGTATATTTCTTTGGCACGGCCTAAACGGCTTGACCGATTTTAGCGTGAGAGATGTCGTTAGATTCGTCTTAATCGTGAGAGTGACACTGGTTATATCTAAATTGAAAAAAAAAAACAAAATGGCGGATTTTAGGCGCCATAATGTCTTCCGAAAAAAAATATTCTCAAAACCTATCGAGTGGGGTAATAAAATAAAGGCCTTTTAAGTAGCTTACAAAAATGTATGTTATTTTAAATAAATAAATATATCCTTGGACATTTACACTGCGCCTCTAGTCCCAAACTAAACAAAGCTTGTACTATGAGTACTAGACAACGGATATAAACATACTTAAATACTCTTTTTATAAATACATACATATTATACATAGAAAACACCCAGTCCAATACAAACAAATATGTTCATGCACACAAACAAATGTTTGTTCTGTGCGGAAATCGAACCCGCTACCTCCGGAATAGTAGTCCGTTTCGAACCACTACACCAAACGGCCAACTATATTGTAACTGTATTGTGAAGCCTCAATGTAACCTTGTTGGTGTTCAAATAAATAAATAAAATAAAATAAACTGTATGTTTCCCAAAAATAAATAAAATAAATGTTACAGTGACAGGTCATCGTCTCTACGAGCTATGTGCCCCGCCCACTGCCACTTGATTTTAGCAATTCTGCGAGCTATATCGATCACTTTGGTTCCCCTGCGGATCTCCTTAATTCTGATTCGATCACGCAAGGGAACTCCGAGCATAGCCCGCTCCATCGCTCTTTGGGTGACCTTGAGCCTTCTTATGACGATGGCCGTTGGGGCAGAAAAGTTTTCGAGTGGCAACCAAGAGCTGTAAGACGTGGCCAGACCTCCTACTAGGTGGACCGACGATCTAAAGGTCTCGGGAAGAGCCTGGATGCTGGCAGCGCAAGACCGTTAATTGTGGAAAACCTTGGGAAGGCCTTTGTCCAGCAGTGGACGTCATTTGGCTGAAACGATAGTGACAGGGCCTTACTCTACAGTGACGCCAACTGGTGGACTTAAATATTGTAGCAGTCTGTTCTCGATTGCATGATAGCTTTATGAGAATTGACAGCATATTTACTAATCTTTGTAGATCATCGTCATCAACATGGTGATCACAGCGATACTGATGGAGGCGTTCCACTTCCCCGTCTTCGTCGAGAAAAATAACCTGCCGGCCATCTGTTTGCTCATTTTACTTTACGGGTAAGTTATTATTATTTTGTGAGATTCATTCATTTGTATAAAAGAACGAAGTTTATCACTTTGTAGGTAATTTGTAAATTACAAATTGTAATTCCAATTCCGCTCTCAGAATGTTAAGTAGCCCATCGGGCATCGGAGGAAGAACGGCATCTTAGATCTGTATTCCCTAAACTATTTGACGATTCTGGATATAAGAGCTTATCTAACGCCCTCTAACGTACTTTCGGATCTATCTGTCACTCACCACGGAATCTCGGTTTGCGTGAGTGATGGGTATAAATGAACTATACTGAACTGTACCACCAAACACATTGACAGGGAGGTGCCACCATTGTTCAACTAAAAAACGGAATCAGCGATCCGGTATTGACTGTGGCGCCCGCGCCCCCCTGTCAGTGTCACGGGTAGGACAGTTCGGTGTAGTAGCAGGCCTGTTCATCTCCGCGAGTTTACATCGAAAACAAAACACGCACGATGGCCCACCTACAGGATACTATTCGACAAGGCCTCACATACGAGCGAACATTGACTCACGCCATGGACCTATAAAAAAAGTCGGACGGATTCTCATCAACAAAATACTGTGACATTAGGATATACCAGCTCGCCTGTACGTACAGGCCGGCACGCACACATTCATACCCTGATACACCACTTCGAGTGCAAACTTCACACAGTTGACACATTTACGCGGCGAAAAAATAACACAAANTTCAGAACCAAATTTGAGGTTCGTTTTAGGTAAATTTGATTTTATAAAATGTACTTGCTTAATTTTCTACTATTTATAGTGTAATCAGAAAAAGACGATTTAAAAAAAAACTAGAGCTAATCTGCTAAAAGTAATAATAGTTTCGTAAATTGTGGGTCTCAATTGACACAAAATCATTTAAATATCAAGGGCAACAAAAACACTGTTGACCAGTGTAATGTGCTCATTCTCGATAGTACACTCCGCAGATTCTTCATGGTGGGTGTCTAAAAAAGAGAGAGCAATAGTACGTACTTAGACAAAAGAAAAATACTATGCGCTCATAAAGTAGGTCACAGGCTCATGACCTGTACTCAATAAAAAGTTGCGAAGGTACCATCCTCATAAGATGAACTCAACGCTTATTTTAACCTTTAACCGACGACGTGATTTTTTTGTCACGCCGTCTGCGACGTGCGGTCTGTGGGACCGCTATACTGTTTACTCAAAAAGTAAGCATTTTTGTATAAAAGTTATAATGATTTTATATTTTTTTAAGAACATTATAGTATTACAAATAAACATACGTATAATTTGTGAGGAATTAATGTATATTATTTATTTAAATATGGCTACAACTTTTTTGACGCTTAATTTCATTGAAATAACAGTAGAGCTCAATAATACCTATATAACTTGTAAATTTTAATCAAAGCAAGAAAAACTATACTACTCCCTAAATATAGTGAAAATAATGAATAAAATAAAAATAAATGACACGTAATTACATGCACAAAAAAATTTTGACGTATGGTAAACATTAGGCACAATCAGGACATTTTTTTACCGCATGCCAAGCATTTCCGGTATACATAGGTAACACCTGTAAGATAATTTCGTTTTCAATTTAGGTGGACTAAAATGTACGTCTTTTTTGCAGCTGGTGCAATGACATCAGGCTGATTTGGCATGTCAGAACCTAGAATACATCTCACTGTTTGCTTTACCACCCGTTTCGCGGTATTTTTTTACAGACTACCATCTTTTACATAATATTATGTCCAAATATCAAAATATCATTAGGAAATGTCTTTTCCTAGGTTGTGGTGGCTAAGGATCCATCATTTTTACGAAAAATGAGCCGTACAAAAAAAACGCTAGTTTTAGTATGGTACAAAAATGTCACGTAGTCTGCGACGTGCGGTCCCACAGACCGCTGTTGAACTTTAAATCGCATTATGTTATTAAAACTGCCCTCATCGATGTAACCACTACCTGTAATGGCGTTTGGGCAACTAAACTCGAAGGTACTGAGACGCTCGGGACATGGGAGTAAGTAGAACATTGCAATCCAGAAATTTCAAAAACCGGAGCGGTCTGTGAGACCGCACGTCGTCGGTTAAAGGTTAATTGTAAAATAACATAACACAAGGCGGTAGTCTTATAAACTACCCTCAAGTATTTTTATTGTGAAGGCTGCACTCTCGACCGAAGTGCACTCAACACATACATATTTTACACACTTAACTATGTATTATATTAGAAACAGTAATAGCATAAATACCTTCTTGTAATGACAACGCTAGATTTGAATCCTCAGAAGTTACACTCGAAGACCTCTTTCGAGTACGTCTTTTCAACTTCTTTTCTAGCTTTTTTATCTTTCGTAGAATGTAATCATCACTATCACAATCCTTGTTCTTGCGTTTAGGCATTTTTAATAAACTTTTGGATAGTAACTTGACGGTTGAAACGTAGTAAGAAATAGTGAGACGTAGTGAACGGCCGAGCACTTGAACGCGAATGAAAATGGCGATCCCGATGTTGCCATATGAAAAGTACAGCTTGCACATTATATTTTTTTCATGATATTTTTATTTATCTCTCAACTATAGCGTATGAATGGCCACACAATACGTGCTACTACAAGTATTCTAATCTCGAAGACGAAGCAAAGTATAATCGTAATTAAAATTGCGATGAACGATAAAATTCTTAGTAGTAAAGGACTTTGTTTCGCGAACATTGTCTATATATATAAAAATGAAACCCGTTTCGCGTTGTCACGGCATCACGTGTGAACGGCTGAACCGATTTCGATAATTCTTTTTTTTAAATGTTTGTGGAAGTCCAAGGATGGTTCTTACGGAAAAAAATATTAAGAAAATCTCTACGCTAAGGCGGTACGAAGTTCGCCGGGTCAGCTAGTTCTTAAATAAAAGAAAACTAGCATAATATTCAAAGTTTACCTTTACTCTTATACAGGGTGTCCCGTAATGTAACGTCAAGCCGGAACTGGGTGTTGAGGCAAGTTGTGCTGGTTATCAGAAAAATATAAAAAAAAATCTATGTGGCATATTTTAAAAATAATAGGCATTTAAAAAAAATCAAAAAATTCTACTCCAGGTGACGGTCCTTTTGCTCGTATTGCCACAAATCTTCACTTTTTCCAAATTTTTTTTTTGTTATGTAACCCTGAATAATGGTTCTCTAAATTGTTATCAAAATTACAAAAGTACACATATAACTATGTATTATATTAGAAATAGTAACAGTATAAATACCTTCTTGTAATGACAACGCTAGATTTGAATCCTCAGAAGTTACACTCGAAGACCTCTTTCGAGTACGTCTTTTCAACTTCTTTTCTAGCTTTTTTATCTTCCGTAGAATGTAATCATCACTATCACAATCCTTGTTCTTGCGTTTAGGCATTTTTAAACAACTTTTGGATAGTAACTTGACGGTTTAAACAAAAAGAAATAGTGAGACGTAGTGAACGGCCGAGCACTTGAACGCGAATGAAAATGGCGATCCCGATGTTGCCATACGAAAAGTACAGCTTGCACATAATATTTTTTTCATGATATTTTTATTTATCTCTCAACTATAGCGTATGAATGGCCACACAATACGTGCTACTACAAGTATTCTAATCTCGAAGACGAAGCAAAGTATAATCGTATTAATATTAACATTTATATGGATTTACGTGTAAATTCAAAGGAGGATGATGTTTTGATATGATGGATTCTCCTTCATGTTAAAGATGATTCAAGTTTCTGCCGCTACCTTCACTTTGGTTTTTTCTGCTCCAGCAGCGTTGTAAGTTCTAATTGATACGAAGCACTATTTGCTTTCTTGACATTGTACTTAAATACCATTAGAACATTCGAACCAATTACGGTCGACAGCATATCATAGGTACTACACAATGTTTTGTTGAGATAATATACCACAGTGCCAAATAAGATTATGTAATATTTTATGTGATGATATTCCATTCCAAGATGGTATTCCATCTGAGGCCCGTGGCAAATTCATTGAGGCCGGACCTGGCACATGCCAAGAGATACGAGGGGGGGGGGGAGTATTTTGGGCCCAGGGCCCCCTCGGCTCGGAGGCCTGTGGCATTTTACCAGACCCACCACCCTGTAATTCTGCCACTGACACTAATCACGATATTTTTTTAAATACAACGTACCATGGTCTAAGCGATAGTTTTTACTAGCAATTGGAATTATAAGCATAACTACTCTAGTTTAAACCAACTTTGAAATGCATGAATGGATAGTCAAATTTAATCAATAAAAATTAAATTTAATCTTAATTGAAATACATAATTGAGTTCAGTTAGTAGTGAATGTGTGAAACTCGAATGCCAATTTGTACCAATCTAGGCTGCCTTGTTCGACATCCAATTTAGAATAACTTTAGGTCTTTATTTAGTTTAGTAGTGTTAGCTCAAGTTTGCAATTTTAATGTTTTGACCTGGAAATATAAAATGGTGTTTATCATTTCAACTAAAATATGTATCAGCTCTCACATCATATGTATCAGGCTTTGTAAATTCGTCAGCATATTATAGGCTGTACATTTTGTTACAAAACAGCATCTATTTACTACTGCATAAGTGTTCAAATCTACAAATCTCTTTACTAGCTTAGCCCCAAAAAACACAATTTTGGGGCTAAGCTAGTAAAATTTCTTTATCACAGTAGGGCAATGAAGCACATTAACGTAGCGAGTCTCAGGTTTGATTCGGTTTGAGTAAATTTTATTCAAGAAATAATACAACTCGCTTCATATTACGCTGCTGTTTGACAAAAAAGGCCTTTGGATTTGCATTTGAATGAATATGACATTTGAAGTTTACCAATAAAAACTATGATAATATCTTCAGCCACGAACAGCAATAAAACACTGAATCAATAAGGCCGGTGCACACGTGAGGCGGGACGGAAATGTGTTTTGATTGATTCAGGTGTACTTACAAGTACGGGGGAGGAATAATTTGTAACCTGTGTGCTCCC